GGATCTGATCTCTGTGTGCGTACAGCTCCTAGCACGGTGGGGATCTGATCTCAGTGTGTGTACAGCTCCTAGCACAGTGGGGATCTGATCTCTGTGTGTGTACAGCTCCTCGCACGGCGGGGATCTGATCTCTGTATGTGTACAGCTCCTAGCACAGTGGGGATCTGGTCTCCGTCAGGGTCTCTAAGTGCTACTGTAAGTTAAGTAATAATTTTTTTTAGTTCATCGGCCACTTGCCGAGGTGACGCTTGCGAAAGGGCCTCTGCCTTCCAAGCTGGCACCGTTGCCAGAGTCGGCGAGGGCCGGCACGGCCGTGGGTGCTGCTGGCATCCGGGAATGGACTTGAAGCTGGCAGGAGAATGGCAGAGGCAATGCCAAGGCAGCTAATGGAAATCTTTCAGGCCTTATGAGCCCCGAGCGGTGCCAGAGGAGGGGGTGGGGGGCTGGGAATTACTAGGAGCTAAACGTTTGCTTTGGAGCCGTTCCATCCAAACCCCCTACTCCAGGTCTTCTCCACAGAACGGGATCGGGGCCCATAGGCAAGCTGGGGTGGGACTTGCAGGTGGGATTCCCACCTGCCCTATATGATGGTTCCCTCTAGAGCCAGGAAAGATTGGGGACGTATTGGGGGTGGATTTAGCCCCTCGATCCTTAATGGAGGGACTCAGTACGTGTCTCCTGCCCTGCAGCCAGGTGCTTGGACCCCCCAACATGGGTAGAAATGCCTGGACAGGCTTGATTTCTACCTGCTCCGTCTAGTGGGCCGCTGGAGCTCCAGGGTGTCTGTGCTAACGGGGGTGAGGGGTTCCTTCTGCACATGGGCATGGTCCTCTCTGGTCTCCCCTCAGCTGTTTGCTCCCCTACCCCAAAGCCTGCTGGGATGGACGCCAGGCCAGGCCCCTGCTGTGGGTGAAGGAGCCAGGGCCCTTGCTTGGCGCGGGCAGGGCCTGCGAGCGAAAGGCCAGGGGAGTGTGGCATCTCTGCATGGCCCCACATTGCAACCCGATCCGCCTGCTGGCATTGCCTACAAAACCCAGCTGCCCCCTGAACAGCCAATCAGCCGCTGCCCTGGCCTGTCGCTGACCGCGGGCACACAGGTGCCCTGCATGCTCATTCACACGCACCACCACCCCTGGGTGGCATGGGGCTGGCAGGCTCACGGTGCCGGGGGCGGGAGGGGCCAGGCAGCCATGGGACCCACCGGGCGATCCCATTCCTATTGTAATTACAGACGTGGGGCCGGGAGGAGACTACCTTGTCATTTATTCATGATTACACGGGTTCTTGGTAACCGGAGCCTCGGAGCATTCGAAGGGCAGCTCGCAGCGGGGAGATCTGTCGCTGTGAACCCAGCCGAGCCCTGGGGCTTTGCGTCCGGCGCATTCTGGGAGCCCCAGCGTCATGTGGGTTGCGCTGAGGCAGGGTGGTCCGGTGGGGAGGAACCAGGACACCTGGGTTCTATTCCAGGCTGTCTCTCAGTGGCACTGTTCCCCCTCCCACCCTTTGTCGCCCTTGTGCAGTTGGATTGTAAACTCCTGGCAGCAGAGACTACGGGGCCTGGCTCTTAGCTGGGCCCTGCGGGGGCTCTGGTAATGGACACACTCGCCGGAGATCCTCACAGAACCCCGTTCCTTACGGGCAGGGCGCTGAGAAGTGGGGGGATCAGCCTGAGGCCACACAGGGATTCGGGAGCTAACCCCACAGCCAGTGCCTCAAGCCCAAGGCCCAGCCGCCCACTAGGTTGCCACGGTGACACTTCGGGCCTTGTAATTGGGGGGAGCCCTTCACCTCTGCGGTGAGGCACTGAGGTCATGGGACACCCCAGCTTGGGAGTAGGGGCCACAGGCTTAGCTGCTGTAGGGCTGTATGGGAAGAGGGAGCCATCCCCTCACCTGCCAATGGGGGTGCCGGGTCCCCTCTCCTCCCCGGCTCCCCCCTCGCCGGACGCACCCCTAACGCCCCCCTCTCGGCTCCACGCAGGTGTTCAGCACCTATTCCAACGAGGACTACGACCGCCGGAACGAGGATGTGGACCCCATGGCTGCCTCGGCCGAGTACGAGCTGGAGAAGCGGGTGGAGAGGCTAGACCTCTTCCCGGTGGAGCTGGAGAAAGGTGAGGAAGGAAGAGGCAGGTACTGCCCGGGCCGTGGGGGGCTCTCCCTGCTGGCACTGGGGAGGCTAAGGGCCGGATACTCAGTGACCCCATCCCTGGGCTTGGGGCTAGGATGCGGGGAGAGGTTATGGGGGCCTGGAGCCAGCTGTTCTCTGCATCCCCCCACATGCACACTCATCCCCCTATCCTCACACACGCACACACTTGCACATTCATCCCTCACACACTCATCCCCCACATGCTCATCCACATCCACTTGCACACTCATATACACCCCCCATGCACTCGCACACTCATACGCACGCTTCCCCATGCACTCACACGCACACACACTCCCCCACGCAGCTGCACACTCACACACACACTCCACCCTGCACTTGCACACTCATCCACACACTCCACCCTGCACTCGCACACTCATCCACACACTCCACCCTGCACTCGCACACTCATCCACACACTTGCACACTCATCCATCCACCTACTCACTGATTCATCCCCTGCACAGTTGCACACACAGCTTCACACACTCATCCCACATACACACTCAGGCACCCATCCCCTCGCGCACACGTGCACACTCAGCCTCCCTGCACTCACCCCCTCATCCCCACCTCCTCACCCCTCCCACGTACACAAAGCTGCTCACTCATTCGCGGTTCTCACGTGTTCACCTCACACACTTGTTCCCTTCATGCACTCAAAGCATTCAGTGACTCAGACACAGCCTCTGTCCCATCCTCGTGCACACTCATTCCTCTCTCAAACACACACAGACCCCGGCACACTAATTCACACACATCTGGGCACGCACACATTCTTGCACACCCATTCACACCCACGCTTACACGCACATGGCTGTGTGCACACACATAGAGTTCACACATACACACCTCCTTGCACACTAATTCAGACACAAACATCTGTACATACAAATACAGACACCCCCCTGTGTGTGTACACGCATGCCTGTGCTGCACACCAATCTGCACATGTACCCCTCCATGCACACCTGCCTGCATTCATACACCCTGGTTCACACACATAGCCTGCACACCCACTTATGCACACATTCCACTGTACACCCCCCAGTTCACACACATACCCTGCACACTCACTCATACACACACACCACTGTACACACACACAGTTCACACACATAGCGTGCACACCCACACATGCACACATTCCACTGCACACCCCCCAGTTCACACACACACCCTGCACACTCACTCGTACACACACACCACTGCACACCCCCCAGTTCACATACACACACACCGGTTAACACACATACCCTGCACACTCACTCATACACACACACCACTGCACACACACACACACCAGTTCACACACGTACCCTGCGCGCGCGCACACACACACACCAGTTCACACCCATATCATGCACACACACACACACACACACCAGTTCACACACATACTGTGCACACCCACTCACTGAGTGTAAGTGAATGCACTAGTGAAAGGCTCTCCTCTCTGCCCCTGCGGGATGCTCTGAGAAGCAGGCCAGGGCGGGGCCAGGGTAGCTCAGAGATGGCGTCTGCCCAGCAGGCAGCAGCTGGTACGAACGCAAACAGGATGCTGCGGTGCTTTCGATGGGAGAGAGGCAGCACGTTGCCAAGCCTGTGTGTGGTGCGTCGGTTCCTCCCCCTCTCAGCACTGAGCTCGCCCTGGGAGGGATCGACAGGGAAGAGGGTTCGAGGTTGGGGTGGGACTCACGTGTGGAAGATCCTGGGAGGAAGAGAAGCTTGAGGGGGCTTGACTAAGGGATGAGGCTCCTAGGGGGATCAGTCCACAGCAAGGGGCGCATGGGGGAACCAGGCAGCTGGAGGAAATGCTGTCATTGGGCTGCAGGAGCTCAGAGGGTCAGGTTAGCAGGGGTGGCGAATGTTTGCAGCACTGGTCGGTAGCTAAGATCCGTGCCACAAGGGGCACTAACCCCCGTGTTTCTGGACATAAGCCGATCCCCTGGGGGCTGGGGATTTGCACCATGGCAAGGCGCAAGGCCCAGGGGGCAGGAAATCTCGCCTCGCTCTGAAGCATCAGGCGTTGGTTGCTAATGGAGGCAGGATACCGGGGTGGATGGGCCAGCGTTTGGATCCTGTCGGGCTACGAAAGCGAATGTTGTGAGGTGTCTTACGGTAGAACCCAGGTTCCCCAACTCAGCCCTAGGCGCCTGCCCTGCTGGGCCTGGGTTCTAAGCCGGTATTTCAGGAGCCTAGCTGGCCCCAAACTCTGATGTTGCAGGGAAGCCAGGCTATGGGGCTTTGATGTGCCGGCGGGTGTGATCTGGCACTGCCCGTCCTGGGCGCTCTTCTTCACACTGACTCGTTCCTTTGGTTTCCTCTCTCTCACACAGTCATTCACCCTCCCACGCGTGCTACCGCCCGTAATTTAGCTGCCATCTGTCCTTGCCTCTCGCTGTAATAAACACTGTTCTTCTCTCCTGCTACTTCCTCGCTTTCCTCCTGCCCCCGGGGCCAGTCCTGGCAAGCGCCGGAGCCCTCTGTGCCGGGCCCCTTTGCCCATCCCGCAGCAGGTGCATCCCTGCTGCCCCGGTGGTTGCCGGCCCCAGTTCACCGGGCGTAGTTGTTGGGGTGACTGGAGAGAGGGGAGAGCGCCGGCCTGGCTCGGAGGCCCCCAGCGGCGGCCCACGCGACCCCGTGAGGACCCGGGTCTCTCTCTCTTGCAGACTCCGAGGGGCTGGGCATCAGTATTATCGGGATGGGCGCCGGAGCGGACATGGGCCTGGAGAAGCTCGGCATCTTTGTCAAGACGGTGACGGAAGGGGGAGCGGCTCACCGGGATGGCAGGTAAGCCTGGGGACGTCGGCGACTCTCGGGCCAGAAGGGAGCACGGCAACCCCACAGAAACTGGCGGCGGGGCTAGGAGCTGAATCCAGAGCTCATGAGTCTCAAAACCAGAGTCTTAATCCCAAAACTGAGCATCCTACTGTAATGCTCAGCTCCAGAATACACGGACCCCCGCCCCCTCCAACACACACGCTTTACTATCAGTCTGTTTGTTCCCTTCACTCCCAGCAGGGGGCGCTGTAGGGAGCAGGGCAGGAGCACTAGCTGTGGGGGGTGGAGCTCCCAGCTACTCCA